GGGGGACAGTTTTTTTGGCAGAACCGGGGATTGAACTCAGGCCCTTGCATTTGCCAGGGAAGTGCTTATTCCATTGAGCCATCTCCCCAGCCCTATATTTTTTTTAAATGTATTTGGTACAGGGTCTTACTACACAGCTCAGACTAACAGTGACCCTCCTGTTTTCAGCCTCCCCAGTGCTGGGATTATAGGCGCACACCACCAAGCCTGATCTCTGTGGCCGGCTCAGTGTTCCTGGGGGCAGGGCCAGAGTGACATGTGGTACTGAGGATTGAACCCTGGTCTCTGCACTTACCTAAGCAGGCGCTTAGTCTGCTGAGCTATCTTGCCAGTCTTCTCAATATCTTCAGCTTTCTCTTTCCTTTTCTTACATTTCTCTCTCTCTCCTTTCTTATACTGGGAATTCAAATCACAACCTTGTATGCACCAGGCATGTGCTATGCTACTGAGCCATATTCCTGGCCCTTGAACTTTTAAAAAAATCTTTTATTTATGTATTTGGTACAGGGTCTTGCTATGCAGCTCAGATATGTAATGATCCTCCTGTCTAGGAGGCTGGCAGGTTAGCTCAGTTGTCTAAAGCACCTTCTTGAGCAAAATCAGTCAGCGGCAAGGGACTGCAGTTCAGTCCGTGGCAACAGCAACACAAGCTGCACCAGATGCACCCTTAAGGCAGCCTGAGCCAGCCAAAAAAAAAAAAGAATCTTCCTGTCTCAGCCTCCCCAGCCCTGGGATTACAGACAAGCCACCATGCTCAATTTCAGTGGCTAGCACAGCATGTGATACTGGGGATCGAACCTGGGTTCTTGTGCTTGCCAGGCAGGTACTTAGACTGCCAAGTTATCTCCCCAGTCCCTTGAACTTTTTTTTTTTTTAATTATTTATTTATTTATTTGTCTGTGTGTGTGTGTGTGTGTGTGTGTGTGTGTGTGTGTGTGTGTGTGGCCAGCTGCGCCCACCAGGGGGCGGGGCTGGCTGGCATGTGGTCCTGGGGGATTGAACCGTGGTCCCTGTGCTTTGCTAAGCTTGTTCTAAGTAGGTGCTTTAGACCACTGAGCCATCTCACCAGCCCTTGAACTTTCCATTAGGTAGAAAAGAGAGAATGATTCCAAAGTTTGAGGTATCACCTTGATACTGAAGTCTGATAAGAACACACACACACACACACACACACACACACACACACAAATATTGGTGGATAATTGTAAATGTGAACACAAGTGCAAAAATCCTAATCAAAATATTAACAAATTCAATCTAGTGATATATAAGTACGATTATGACCAAATTGGGTTAGGATTTATTTCAATATGGCAAGTTAGATTAAATATTAAAAATTAAGTTGCGGATAACACCCGGAATATGTATTCAAATCCCTACTACTTGGCAATAGCAAACTAGATAGACCAAGTAAAAAATAGGAAAAGTGCCAGGCATGATGTTGCATGCCTATAATCCCAGCACTCAGGAGGCTGAGGCAGGAGGATCACGCAACTTTGAGGTCAGCCTTTGTTACATAGTGAGTTTAAGACTAGCTTGAACTGTTACATGGCGAGACCCTGTCTCAAAAGAAAGGAAAAAAAAAAGGCAAAGGACTTGAACAGACGTTTGGGGGGGGGGGTTGCCCCTTAGCTCAGTTCTTTAAGTGGCTGCTTCAACAAAGCAGTCAGGCTCAGGTTGCTGTGGTTCGATCCCCACAACTCAAGCCAGCCAAACCTGCCCTGAAGGCATTCGGAGAAAAAAAAAAAAAGTCCTGACGTTTCTCAGAAAAAGATATGTGAATGGCTGACCAGCATATGAAAAGATGCTCACTATCCTCATCAGTAGAAAAGTGGCAAGTAAAACTACAGTGATGTCACCTCTTACCCTGTTTAATGACTAGTATCAAAACAAACAAGCTGGGCATGCTGGGGCACACCTGTTACCCCAGCATTTGGGAGGCTAAGGCAGGAAGCTAATTTGGGATCACCTCAAGTTCAAAGCCAGCCTGGATTACATAGCTGAGTTTAAGGCCTACTTAAACTACATAGTAAAGCCCTGTCTCAAATAAATGGAATGGATAGATGGGTGGGTGGATGGATAGATGGATAGATCGATGGATGGATGCATGGATGAATGGATGGACAGAGAGATAAATAAAATCAGCAAGCAAGGGGCTGGGGAGATGGCTTAGTAGAATAAGTGCTTCCCTGACAAGTGCAAGGGCCTGAGTTCAATCCCTAGTTCCACCAAAAAAAAAAAAAAAAAATCAGCAAGCAAATAGAAGGGTGTGGTGGTGCATCCCTATAATCCCAACCACAACAAAGGCTGAGGCAGAGGCAGGCAGATCATAGATTCAAGGGTAGCTTTAGCAATTAAATTGACCTTGTCTCAAAATTAAAAAGAACTGGAGATGCAGCTCAGTGCAAAAGCCCTAGGTTCAATCCCCAGTACTAAAAATAAAATAAAACACACCTAGCAAATAACCATGTTGGTGAGGATAGGTAAAGCTGGAAACTGATGTACCATGGTGGGAAATGTGTAAGGACAACCACTGAGAGAACAGAATTGGGGTTCCTTTATTTTTATTTTTTTTTATTTTTGGCAGAACCTGAAATTGAACTCAGGCCCTTGCGTTTGCCAGGGAAGCACTTAATCCACTGAGCCATTTCCCTGGCCCCTGGGGTTCCTTCTAACAGACACACACACACACACACACACACACACACACACACACAAAGAAAGAATAAAAAATAAAACAGAGACAACAGGGCAGGGGATATAGCTCAATGGGACAGTGCCTGTCTGGCAAGCATAAGGTTGTCAGTCCGATTCCTGGTACAAATCAATCAATCAATTGAACAATCACTGACAACAGAATTAGCAGCTCACATGGCAACCCCACTTCTGAGCCTCAATATCCAACAGATGCAAGGCAGGAAACGCTTATTCTAGTGAGCCATCTCACTGGCCCCAGATGGTCAAGAGCTAAGTGAAAATCTGTGTTAAGAGGAGCCAAGTGCTGGAAGCCACTTAAGCTGTTCATCCACTGGTGAATGAATGGCTAAAGAAAATGTGCACAGGAGCGCTGGCCAGACAGCTCAGTGGATTAAAGCGCCTGCTTAGGCATAAGAGTCGGAGGTTCAATCCCCAGCCTGCTGTGTTGGCCCCACCCTGGGGGCGTGCTGAG